TGCTGATGGCATTGTCCTTACGGTCAGACAAGCCGTGCAGACAAAGCTCAATCAGGACAACTTCCTCTTGATTTCTGGAAGGTGGGGGGGGGGGGGCTGGACTGCATTCTCACAGATAAACAAAGGCGACCCAGACTGACTTCGGAAAGCAGTCGGAGATTCCTTCAGTGTCTTAAGTTAATTCTACGGCAGATAAAAGTTTTATTTTCTCCCCTTCTCAAGACACCCCGAGTATAAAAACCTAATTTATACGTTTCGTGAAGTTAAATTTCATGCACAGTCAGTCTTTTCATTTATGTGTAAACACTGCTGTTGTGGTTACAGTTCTCACTTTCACTACGTCACTGGGTGTGTCACAGTCACACACCTGTATTTGTGTAGCCTCAGTATCGTTACGGCATGCGAGTTGAAGATCTGTCACACTGTTCAGAAAATATTTGATCCTAAACAACGGGTACAGATTTTGTTTTAGTCCTGAGAAAAAATTCCCTCTAGAAATATTCCCAACTTTGGCAAAACCGAGAAGTTAGTCCCCGAGGTTTGATCTCCATTGCTGTCATCAAGTGTCGAAATCAATCTATTTGAAATCACAACAAAAGAAATCTCCAATCACCGTTCACATGATGTGTTTTCATATAGAGAGACCCGACTGCAATCAACCACGAGAACGCATTTGGCAACATTGGCAAGGAAACACTTCTTGAAACAGACAGAAACCTCAAGCAGAACTAGACTCATAGGTGAACATTCATCTGCCAGCCCCATCCAGTACACGTCACCACTCGTTTCTTTGGAAGCACCACTTTGGGAAGTTACTGCTTTACGTCATCAGGGGAGTGTCACAACCAGACAGAGTTGCACACCTGTACATGTGCAACCTCAGAGTTTTTGCACGGCAGGTTGGCTCAAGCTCTCTGTCACATTGTCAAGAAAGCGTTTGAAAACTGTGATCTTTAAGTGCGGGGGGGGGGGGGGGAAATGTCCACAGAGTTTGGCAAAGTGATTCCAGCATTTTCTACAAGTACCAAGCCAAGGGAAAAGTTAAATCTTACAAAATTTTAAGGTTAAGTACATCTGAAAGATTTATTTCCTTCACTATTTATCTGTATTTGTTCCAGATCTTGAGGGTATTATCCTGCAACTACCTTTCTTCAACATATCTCAGTTTCATGTCTTGTCAGATTGGAGTTTTTTTTTCCTCTTATGACCAGGGTCCTCTCCTCCATCTGGCAAAGTAAAGAGGGCTTGCTTGAGTTCTTTTTTTTTTTTCTTAAGAGTGCTTTCTATCTCCCTCAAAGCTCTGATTGATGTGACGAGTGCTGCAGCAGAGACTTTTGCCCTTCTGCTCGTGTCTTCTATCTCTGTATCACTGAGACATAATGGGACATTTCCCATTAAATGATACATCAAAACCTGAAACGGTTTTCGTCCTTGTCCATGCTCCATATCGTAACACATTATTATCTAACAGTTTGAAACTTCAACACATGGCTGTGAAAGTTTTGAGCGTTTGATGTAGAGATAGGACAGTGGATAGAGAGAGAGAGAGAGAGAGTGGGGAATGACATTCGGGAAAGGAGCCACAGGTAAGGTTAGAACCTGGGGACGCCGCGCCACCAGATCCCCCATGAACAAGTTTGCCATGTCATTATGGGTTTATGTGCGTTGACTAAAAAAAAGTTATCGGACTCACAATAAACACAACGGGGGAAAAGTATGTCAAATTGGAACGCAAGGGAAAGAAATCCTGATTTAAAATTGCATGAAATGCTCCTGAATCCTACACTTCCCACGATGCAACTGATAAGATTTCATTTTGGTTTGACTCTCCTTAAATGGATTAACTCCCATTCACACAACAAAACAGAAAAACAATAAGAGTTCTGGATCATTTAAACGACACTGTTCTTTTTTGTCTGGCATGCTTCGCACAGGACCGTACAGTATCTAATTATGCTGCGTCAAGCTACGGAGGCATGACACTCAATCACACCTAATGACAAAACTTGTTGTGCTTTCTAGTAACCCGGCAACAACCACAACAGGCGTTCAAGTGGAGGCTAAGGCCCTCTTACATGAGTCACAGAGACCTTTCACCTCCAGCCCCTCTGGTCAGTGGGCGTCTGGCGAGTGTTCAGGCTTCTGTGAATTTGAGGGCATGACTTCACACTCGCTGAGGGGACGGAGTGGAGGAGGAGGAGGAGGAAGATGAAGAGGCCATGTTTGCGCTGATTAAGACACTCAGCAGCTAATGAGTCGCAAAGCAAGCCAGCGTGAAAACTGTCCCATGAGTTGACAGCAGGATATTAAGGAGAGCAAGTGGGTGAACTCTGCTTTCTCGTAAGTGGGCTGCTAGGAAATACTGTCCGCATAATCAAACTTCACTGTACATGACATGTAAGGGTTGTTATAGCGGAAGGGTCCTGTCTCACCCAGTGGGGGGTATAATTCTGTTAAAACAACTCACTTACTGTACATGATTCCACTTATTACACTGATAGTTACTGAAGCAAAGAAGAGATAGACAGATTTTAAGTTAGAATGAATTGTTTTGATTTTAAAGGACTGTATTCCTTGTGTCACTGCGGGTGGCAGTAGTTGGGACTTGGGACGCCGGTTTGTGTCCCAATGGGGACCAAAATCAGGAAAATCGATCCGGTAACTGGAGAGCTGCCTGTTCACTCCCTGAGCACTGCCGAGGTCCCCTTGAGTAAGTCACTTAACCCTCCACCAGCTCACGAGCGCCCACTCACTCTGACATGCCTCCATTAGCGCATGTCCATAGGATCCTGTTTGTGCATGTGTGTGTGTGTATTTCAGTATATGCAGTGTTTCCCCTACATTTACAGCTTTGGACACACACACACACACACACACACACACACACACACGCCGACACAAACACATCTTGGTGTTCATGCGTTACCTTTAATGACAGCTGTCCTTTTCTATCGGAAAAGGTTTCCTAAATGACTTCTTTCCCTGATTTCCGACTCTATATCACTATCCTATCCCAACAATAAAGCCCCCCATAAAAATCTAAAAAAAAATAAAATAAAAAAAAACCCTTTTTTTTTTTTTAACTTGACCTTCAAGGCGGGCCGCTCCCCTAATATAATGGTAGGGGAAACACTGGTATATGTGTGTGTGTGTGTGGCATCTCTCAACAACAGAGTGTAAAATGTAATTTCCCCTCGTGGGATTAATAAAGGATACCTTTCTTCTCCAAAAAGAAGTCCCTCACACTCTAAGGTTTGCAGCTGCATCCATGTTAAACTAAGGAGCCTCAAACGAGCATTGACACTGATAGTGAAATGAGACCGCACTAAACACTGCAGCACCTGATTGACTTTATTCCCTCGTAATTGAAAGTCTTTTGATATTTTATTTAACGGTGGGATAAAATACGGATACAGCAATACATCGTTGTTCTGACATGCGTTTTGATACTTCAATTAAAAGGATATAGCGTTCTGAACCGTTCCCTGGCAATTTGACTTGCTGTGTCACCGCTTCTTGACTCCTCGCCGTGGAGCAAATGAGGGTAATATGAAGTTTATTGTAAGTCGACAGCGGGATGAAAGAAGACGACGACAGCGGGGCAAAGTAGGACAGCAGTAAAATGAACTTCAACTTTGAAGATTTCTCTATCATCCTGATTTTGGCATCTTAAAAGCTCTCGCTCTGTCTGCGCTGGTTGTAAACAGACCCGACGTCAAGGTTGTCGATTCACTTTCCCGCAGAATGACATGATCACAAGAAGTCTGTGTTCAGAGCTGCAGTCAGAAAGTAGTCCTTTCATCATAGCATTGGTCTGTAGGCTTTAGAGAAACAGTAGAGCTTATAAGCCATTACTGACCAATCAGAATCTAGTGTTTTAACACAGCTGTGTCACAATATTTTAGAGTGACAACCTAGACCACTCATGGAAGTAATGAGACACCTTGAAACTCTTCTTTAGATCATGACAAGCAGTGTTGAGGTCTAATCCTCATTAGTCCCATCATAACACCATCACTAAGCCATCTCTCCTGTCTCTGGATGGCCTTTAAACTGTGGGATCCACTCCTGTTATCAGCCAAATGGGTTGTTTTGCTTGAGGCACACCAACCATATCATGTGGGCAGTTTCCACTTGACAGTTTGACTCGCACTTTAAGGCCATTTCGGGGGGGGGGGGGCATTGGGGCATTGGGGGCACATCAATGTGCTGATAGACTCATCAGTCAGTTTGTTGCTCAGACTCTTGCGAGTGCTGTTCACATTGATTTGATTTGATGAACACGGTGGCCTCATTAAAATCTAATTTGGCAGATTGTCTCAGAGGTCTGCCATTGCTGGGACGAGTGGCGAAGGTCTGGACGACGCTCCTCAGCCTCCTCATCACTTTGGCACTGTAAAGACCTCAACATGGACTTGGAATAGTTTGAAAACACATGGAGGAGCATGGCAAATGGGGGACACATGTGAAGGACTTTTTCCAAGACTAGATGCGATCTTGGGATTTCCTTCTTTCAAGTTAATGTGAATCATAAAGTCTTGGACTGACAGCAAAGAAAAAAAAAAAAAGAGGATAGAGTCAGGAATGAGTGAACAAGCACAGGATGACAGTGACTTTCCAGAAATGACCAACATCCCCAGACAGGCAAGCTGCTTCAATTAAGATGAAGACTAATTTGCACTTAAAAAAAAAAAAAAGGAATTGCATGAATGCATTTGCAAAACATACGCTTAAAACCAAAAGTAGGGCAATTAATTATCCAAATTCTTGTTGTTGTTTTTTTAAAGAAACACTTGCAACGAAATACATGTAAGTTTTTAAAGCAGGATATGAGTTTCCACTTGCAGGAAGGTTTTAGACATGCTGCATAATGCTTGTGTTTGTAGGAACACCAAATTCCTGTCTTTTAACTTGACATAAACAGGAAATAACAGGCGAAATCAGTGTACTCGGTAAATGGCACGAAACCCATGGAGAATTTATCAAGACTGGACTCTTACCTTGTTATCTTAGTGTCTCCATGTTTTTTTGTTGTGGCTGCAGAATGTTCTGAAGACGAATAAACTGGCTGAGTGTAAGCTTATGAGAGATAACCGACAGGAAGAGCGGACAAAAAAAAATCCCAACAGATGCAGAGCAGAAAATGTTCACCAAAACAGTGTGTTCTGTTATCCGGAAACTGCAATCTGTCCGCAGAAATTACAAATACAAGCTGTGTTCAGGCACATATGTGTCCTCCTCTCCCAGGTGCATAATCCACAGCAGCTGTGACAGACGGGACGAAAAACTGCAAATGTGTTTCAGAGGAAAGTTTGTTTTGTCACCCTGCTCTTCGCTCGTCTGCACACACACTACAGAGAGGGAGCTGAGTTTTTCCCCTCGAGCTGCGCCTCTGATGTCAGCAACAACGTGAGCTCCAGGAAGTGGTGACGCTCTCCGGTGGTGCGTTTTTCTAAAAAGGCAGCGGCTTCAAATTGGGGGGGGGGGGTAAGCACCGCCCCCGTGTGGACGGCTTGAGCAAGTACAACGTCTGTACCCTGAAGAGACATTTCTTTACGACCCCTTCAGCTGTTTAAATACTGTTTTAAAAACAGTTCATCTTTAGGTTTTAGGCACTCTGCTTCATGAAGTGAACACAAGTGCCTCACACAATGATGAACTCTCGCAGCCACAGCGTGGGTGACGTGATTATATATTTATCGCAGCAGGTTTTCCAGTAGCTGCCTCTGCTGTCAACAGAGTTTCACTTTTTCACAATTTAAGCAGCCAAAAGCCTCAATGGTCCCAAAACTTGCAAAACGATTACCGAATGATGCAACTTTTAAGATTTTACTGAACCTGCAAGAGATATAAATGTATATGTTTGAGAGCCAGCTGTACCAAACACAAGCTCCCAAAAGAAAAGTTCAGACTAAGTTAAAACGAAATGCTGATACTGTAAGTATAACAGAATAATAATTATGTTTCTCATGTACTGTGTCATTCGTTCTTTTTTTTATGATGTACAGCAACAGAAAAAAAACAAGAGACCATTGAAAAAGAAAAATTGTAAATGAGAATATTCATTTGCAGGTTAAAAGAGATGTTGTACAAAATAATGCATGTTTTTATTGTTTCAAACACATACTCATAGATATTTAGATGAACCAGAGAACATGTTAATAACATATTAATGCAGTGGAGCTGTATACTCATCAATTAAAAAAAAGACTCAATTTGTACTATATATTATATTTTTTTTCAATTAATTTGATTGTTTGTTGTTGATGTCATTAATTAATGCCATTAATCTGGTCAGGAATACAAACCAAAAGCCCTTAACGGACAGCTATATGTCCAACTCTAATAGCCAAGTTGAAATATTTTTTTAATGAAATTTAAAGATTAAACTCAAATTATTTGCATAAAATAAATACAAATGCATTTTTTAAATCTAATCTAAATACATACATAAATAAACAACCAATTTACATTTAAAATGCAAACTATTATTGCATAATATAATTTAATAATCCTATAATTTGTCTGATCATTTATTTTCATCTTTATTTATTAACTAATTATCTCTTTCCTTTTAATACTTCCACTTGAACCACAGCTAGTTCCCTGCAGTTTAGAGCTCTTGATGTAGTCCATCAGAGCCCTCTTACACAAATGCAGCAGTGTACTAAAACACTTCTTAGCAATACTTTCCTGTTGGGCTGATAAACAACACACTAAAAAAACGTCTACCTGTGGACCAGTTTTTAATACAAATATAAACCCCAGGTAGTCCACTCTCCTCTCTTATGCCTATAAGAGCAGACTGTGAGAATAACAAATGCTCTTCCGACCTTGACTCCAGCATTGCACTCTTCAGATTAGTTCCACACAGCAGTGTTTTATTGTGATCAGACATGCCCTCGCTGTGGGTACGACTGCCTGAGTGCAATGAATATCAATTGAACATTTGCATCTCTGTGTGGATTTGCAGCGCTGAACTGTGCGGTAGACAAACACCACAGGCCGATGATTTCTGCAGCATCGTTTCAGAGTGTTTGAGAGGCATTTTGGCTCTCTGGAGAAAAGCAGGATGTGTTTGCATCGGTCTGAAGAGAAATAATCAAACAGCTTGATGGCGGATTGTGGATAGATGTTTGTCATGACTGAAGTCTGATCGTCTGACTGAAAACTCACCTATTATTGCTAGCTCTGCTTAGAACCATAACATGTTGTTTATGTGTATAGATATTCTGATTGTTATCTGGGCACAATGTAGGGTTATTCTAATCACCTTTAATGATGGTTAAAGTATGCTGAAAAACAGATATAAAATCATTAATAATGCTAGAACTGACACATGAATGAACTTCAGTCAGGTGAAGGATGGAGTAACATCTTGTGCGTCTACACTCTGAGCTTTCTCTTCCGCCTCACATTGTGTACAGAACCAGCCTCTTTCTTCCCTGCAGCACTTGACCAAGCTTGTAATAGGAACGTGTTTGTGTGTGTGCACTATTTATTTTTCTCCTTTTTGATCTTTATGCTTCACTGAAAGGGTCTTACACAAAAATCCATAGCCCCCTCAGGGAGACTGCCGGCTGTAATCGACTGGTAGAAAAATCAATCAGGCCGTTTGCAGACAGGTGAACTCCATGGGAATGTTAAAAATAGACGAGAAGTTCTTTCTTTTTACAGATCAAACTTTTCATATGTAGATTTTCTGTGGGCAAAACTGAGACTCAGTGGGGGCACTGCTGTGAGTCACCCTGTTTACTGCCGTTGATAACTGGTCTAAGGACAAATACAAGAGGAATGAACAATTTCTACTTTATTTACATTCTTATAAAAGGTCAATAAATAAGCTGATTAAAGTATAGCAGGTGAAACAACAGGTTGTGTGACAGTTTTGTTATCAGAGTGTCTCATTCAACTTGTGCACATCAAAGGATCCTGTTCCCTGGAGCTGCAGAGTGAGAGGGGTCTTCACTAGAGGAGACTGGATTAACACAGTGGACCGGAAATTTCTGTCCTCGCTATAAAATAGAATATGTTAACATCAGAAACCTTAGCAGTTTTTTTTTTAAATATTGTAGTCAAATGTAACATTTCTTCTTCCTATGGTCTGTGGTTTGATACCTGGGAGTGAAGCTGATCTGAAGACACTGGCTGTAGCTGGTGACATGAAGCCCTTTGGACCTGAGAAGTCCAAAGTCTGGTGTCACTCTGAACACATCTGACTCTGCACACACACACACACACACACACACACACACACACACACACACACACACACACACACACACACACACACACACACACACACACACACACACACACACACACACACACGCATCCACACACCCACGTGTTTGTTATTGTGACAGAAGAAAGTGAGGTAAGCCACATGTGCATGAACACCAAGCGGCAACCTCCGCTGTTAAATAATGAGGCCAGCGGAATAAACATATTTTGTGTCTGGTACAACCCACTTTTTGAAGAACACAATCAGTGGGCTTCATAACACCTTTTCAGAAACCAATGGGTGACATCACTGAGACTACGTCCATTTTTTGAACAGTCTATGATGAAAACTGTTCTAAAATAATGTATGTGCCAACATTTAGGACCTAAAGATACCCAAGAAACAATTTATAAGCTCAAGGAGTTAATACCAAAAGAATACAGAGGACAGTTCAATAGTTACCTGTAACTGATTTCCAGTAAGTGTGGGCTCCATGGCTGTACAGGTTGACCTCTACTGTCTGTGTCTGGCCCACATAACAGAATCCAAAGTCAATGCTGTCAGTGGACAGACGAATTGTAGCAAGATCCAGGTGGGCACAAAGAGGTACGGTCTGCACAGAAAGAAGTAGAAATAAACTCTCATTTAACCACAGAGGATCCTACAGTCTCATCTCATTTCTTCTTTCTCCCTGACCTGAAGAGTGTTATTGCTGTAGTGAATCAGGAGGTTCTGCTGGAACCTCAGCTTCCTCTGCTGGGCTTCATTGCTGATCAGCGTCACCCCGAGTGGGACTTGCTCATCTGCCTGGTCTGCAAGGTCAAGGAGAGACAGGGAGCAATGGAAGGCCACCTTCACCTGGAAGAAAAATGCAGACAAATGTACAACTTTCAGTGGGGATGAACAAGAAAACATAGAATCCTTTATCAAGATTTTCCTGATACCATATCTACAGTGGTAGGTATTCTCCAGGTCTTACCTGCATACTGTGTTGTGGCTTCAGCACCAGAGACTGGCTGTCACCACTAGGCAGGTTACTGCTTGTACTGGTAAAGGCTTGAGGCTGTGGCTTGAGCACTAAAAATGGCGGCTGAGTCTCCAGTTGGAAGTGCAGGGCCATTTCAGAGTTATTTTTCAGCTGAAAGGTCTGTGTGGTGTCAAATTCACACACTACAAGCTATAGAACAAGAAAAGAAAAACCAGAAAGAAAACCAATAAGCATGACTGAACAGAAATATTAAAACCCTGTTGGATTAAAACCTCATGCTTGAACTTTGTTTTATGGCTTTTCCCACAGACCTCCTCCTCTGATTCTCCCAGCCGCAGTAAATCACCGACTGAGGCTCTGAACTCCAGCACCCCCTCATCCTCCTCCATCTGCACCAAGAGCCTGCAGTGACAAGACGCCGAAAGGATGATATGCAACTTAATCAGACCACCTCTGAGCGCCTTTTACTGAACCTCAGCTCATTTTAATTCAGAAATCGTAAATTCAGTTGGATGCATTGGGTTTTTTTTTTTTCGTTTTTTTTGCAGGAACATAAATAGTAAGATTGTAATTTCTCACAGCGCAGGCTTAACGGCTGCTAGTAGATCCATCCTGACAGGCTCCAAATCCAAACCTTGAGCTCTTATAACTTTACCCGGGACACATGCAGCCATCTGTTAACATACACAAAACACAATAACAAGGGAGTTTTCGCTGCATCAGAGTGCGCTGCTGCTTGAATTTTTTCATGATTAGAAATGGAAATTGCATTGTTGTGCAGCGTGGATGTTACCTCGGAGTCTAGACTCATGAAGCCCAGAGCTAATCCTACACATTTGGACTCGTAAACTGACCCGGACAGAGTGAAAGGAGTGAAAGAAACGTGGATTGTGCTGCTGCCCTTTGCTGGAATCACCTTGAGATAAAGAGCAGGAAGGAATAACAGAATTATTTATATGGCTAAAAGCATCGTTTCAGAGGTAGAAGAGATGCATGTGGCTTGAAAGCGATCGACATACTGTCTGCTGAGGAGTGATGCAGTATGGAAAATCCGAGAGGTTGCCAGTTTCCTCGTCCTCACTGTCATTCTTGCTTATATATTCCACCACTGTCTCCTCCTGAAATCAATGAGATTGAGTCAAAGGATTACGTGTGGATTTTAACATGTAGCATCACACTCGAGCCATGAGATTTTTTT